GTCTCTGTCTCTGTCTCTGTCTCTGTCTCTGTCTCTGTCTCTGTCTCTCTCTCTCTCTCTCTCTCTCTCTCTCTCTCTGTCTCTCTCTCTGTCCACAGATTGGATCTGAAGGGCAGAGAGAGGCTGTAGTGTTTCTTTAATATTATCTGTGTAAGTTGTTCCCTAATAAAACACCCACTAATCATTTATCTTGGGTCTAGTAAACTCATCACCCACCTTCACTGTTGGAATGGTTCAGCTCTGCAGTCTGGGTCATTTGGGGAGGGAGGGTGTGAAACTGGTCCACACAGGGAGATCCCACAGAAGATGTGGCTTCTGGCATCCAGGTCATTTGCCACCCAAGCTTCTGTGTTTTAAGAAAGAGTCTCACTGTATAGGACTGGCTGTCCTGGAACATGTATGTAGGCTATGCTGGCTTCTAGTTCACAAAGCTCTTAAGTGCGGGGATTAAAGGCCTGAGCTACCATGCCCAGTTTAACCCAAGCTTCTTGAAGAGTGGTACACATGGTGTTCCCAGACTTTGGTTCCTGTTATTCCCCTCATTTACTCCCCCTTCAAACCTCATACTTCCTTGAGCCTAGTCACTCTAAGAACATCATCAGAATACACCCGTTCCCTCAACAAAACCCACCACTGACTCCAAAAGGCATTTCAGATGCCATCTTGAAAGATGTTCTGTAACACTTAATATTGGGTATCTTATATTGGATATTTTCTCCTTTCTCTACCTTCAGGCTCACCTTTCTGATTCTTGACTTTGTTTTATGTTTGATGCATTACATGGGATTTGAACCCAGGGCCTTGCAAATGCTAAGCATGTGTTCTACTTCCCAACTTCCCTCTTCCTGGTCTTCCAAGCCTTCTTTTCAATTGTCTCTCCTTTGATGACCTGAAGGCTCAATTCCTGTCTTATTGCCCTGTTCAAGGAACATATCCTCTTTGGATCAATTTACCTGCTATTAAGGCTTCAGACACAATATGTTTGTTTTGAAACCCAAAGCTGTATCCCCAGCCCCACCTCTCCACTGAATATCAAACTATAGAGCCAATAACTTGGTGGGTATTGTCCCAGCCACATGCCACCATTGTCTCTAACCAAGTTTGCCCCATCTCTGCTCATCGTTGACTGCATAAAGGCCAAATTTGTTTCCTTTATTATTTTTGGCACTACCTACTTATCTCAGATCCTGGGACTTGTCCCCATTCCATGCCCATCTAACCAGCCACATTCTATTAAGGGCTAAGTTCTCCCAGCATACTTCCTACAATATGTCTTTCTAGTCTTGCTGCCACTCTCTGAATTCGGCCCATCATCTTCTCTGCTTTGTGGGTTTTAATAGCCTTTCTCCTGGTCTCCCAGCATCTCTGCTCTCTCTAATTCATTCTCCCCACTGCTATCAGAATGGCTTAATTAAAATGCAGCTCTGACATTCTGAGCCCCAGGCGAAAGCTCTCAATCATTCTCTGTTGTCTAACAGGACAGAATCCAAAGCCCTGATAAGGCACATAAGATCCATTTGGATCTAACTAGCCCTTGCCTCCCACCCCAGCCTCACCTCTTGACTCCCCCCTAATTTGAAAACCATCAACTCAGGGCACTCTTCCAGAGGACCTGCGTTCAATTCCCAGCACCCACATGATGCCTCACAGCCATCTGTATCTCTAGTCCCAGGGAATCCAATGCCTTCTTCCGCCCTTCATAGGACCAGGTCCTCTCATGTTGCACATGCAGATGAAGCACCCACACACATTAAATAAATTTTAAGAAGAAATAGCCATTGACCCTAAAACTTAGTCATGCAATACCACTAAGGAATATTTCTTACTTTATTACCACTAAGGAATATTTCTTTCTGTAATCCAGAATCATGCATGAAGTGGGTACCTAGGCTCAAGAGCATTCCCCCATCTGGTGACTGCACTATCTGGAATATGTGACCTTCTCCAGTGGCATGGGGGGGGGCGTTAGTTAAGAATCCAGCATGAACTTTTGACTATCCTAACCCAGGTATGATATACTTTACTCCTGGCTCCTTTTTTCATTGGTTAGAAATTACCACATGGTCCAAACTAGCTCAAAGGAAGCCAGGAAATGTGGGTGAGCAATTAAAATGCTTGGTGAGATGGCCTCTGTCATACCCCATGTCCCCAAACCAACCTCTCCTTGTGGCTAGGTCTTATCTTCTCCAGACATCTCTGCTAGAGACACCTTCTCTTTTCTTGCATTCTTTATTTTTTTATCTCTTGACCACTCTGAAAAAACCTAACCATACCTAAAATCAGATACCCACAAAATTTCTTGTTTCTCCACCCCACTAAGTTACCAAACAGTTTCTCAGCTACTCTGAGCACCAAAACCATTCTCTTCCTTATTTATACCCAACATTGTCACTAAAGCAGACTACAAGTGATCCCAGGTGTTCAAATCCACTATCACTCACCCAACTGCATGTGATTTGGTTTTCTGGCAACATATTTGACCTAAGCTAGAGTCATCAGAGAGGAAGGAACTTCAGTTGAGAAAATATCTCTGTAAGATGAGGCTCTAGGCAAGCCTGTATGGTATTTTCTTAATTAGTGATTGATGGGGGAGGGCCCAGCCCATGGTGGGTGGTGCCATCCCTGGGCTGGTGGTCCTCAGGCCTTTAAAAAAAAGTGGGTTGAGCAAGCCATGAGAAATAAATCAGTAAGCAGTACTCCTCTGTGACCTCTGCATCAGCTCCTGCCTCCAGGTTCTGTCCCTGTTTGAGGCCCTGCCTTGACTTCCTTCAATGCCCAACTTGCTTCTTTGTCGTGGCATTTCCTCATAGCAACAGTAACCATAAGGCAGCTTCCCTCTCTTGGCTACCAGGAAGTCATGTGCCTGCTACCAGGATCCTTCCTGGGAGTCTCCTTTTCTCTCATCTCCACTGCTCAGCGTCTGCCCAAGAGGACCCAGAACCCTCCCTTTTCCCATCTTCCCTCATTGCCAGGCGACCTCACAGATCAGCTTTCGATATCAACTGCATGCCAGTAGCTCTCCATTAAAATTTCAGCCCTTTGAGCTCCATGTGTATTAAAAAGAATCTCAAAATGAACATATCCAAAGTAGATGTCTTTTTTTATAGTGTGGTAAAATATGTATTACATTAAATTTGCCATTTTTTTCACTAAATGTACAATTTGGTGGCATTAAGGACACTGGATAACAACCCTGTCCATCATTGCCCACCCTCACCCCCCCCAGCTGAAACTATATAGCCATTAAATGGCAGCCTCCAGACTCTGGTGACGCCCTTCCGTCTGTCCCTCTGAGTCTGACTTCTCTGGGTATGTCCTGTAAGCGGAATGTACAGTGCTCTTTTGTGTTTAGAATAATGTCTTCCAGGTTCACCCGTGTCAGAATTTCATTTCTTTTCGGCTTCTATTCTACTGTGCGCTTGTGTCTCCTTTGCCTCACCCCTTCTTTCACTGGTTTTGATGGTTTCCTTTCAGTTTGGACTTCTCCTCCCCTTCCTACTGGAATAGCTCCTCTCCCTCCCTCCCCTATGGCTTCCCACATCAGCCTACCTCCAAGGATAAACAGCTTCTGCCATCGGTGTCTTTGGGCTGCTCAGTGACCCAGTTCTAACCATCTCAGAATCCATTCTGCAGGAAGCAAGGAAAGTGTTCTAGCTTGAAAATCAAATTGGATCTTGGCTTTCTCTCTCCTCCCACAGCCAGGTTCTACTTTGCCTAGCCGACCCCTTCAACTTATTCACTCGCTCTCTCATCCCCACCACAGTCCAGCTGCAACCCGCCTTCATCCTTCCTCGGAAGTGCTAGCAGGACCTGTCTCTGGACTTCTTCCTACTGCCTTTAAGATTCTATTCCCGCAGGGCAGTGTTGCTGCACACCTTTGATCCCAGCACTTGGGAGGCAGTGACAGGCGGGTCTCTATGAGTCTGAGGCTAGCCTAGTCTATGGAATAAGTTCCAGGACTGGCTCCAGAGCTACACAGAGAAACCCTGTCTTGAAAACCAAAACCGAAATAAAAAACAAGACCTAAAGAAAGCAAACAAGATTTTATTCTTTCAATATTAAAGTCCTCCTGCTTCAAAGCATGTGCCCCCCTCTTTTCTCTCTCATACACGCACACTTATTTAAATGACCTGTGTGTTTTGAAACATTAAGTTCACTTCAATATCTCCTCCATAGGAAAGCTTTCCATTCCATACAGTCTCAAGCAGACCCTAGATGTCTATCCTAATATCTTGCTTTATTTCAGACCTTTATCCATACCTAGTATTTTCTTACTGATATGTCTGTATTTGTTCATGCCTTTCCTGTCCTCTCCACCCCCATCCCAACTGCCTACAGAATGATGAAGAAAAGGAAAAAGAGAAGAAAAGAAAAGAAATCCCCAGGTCCTGGGCTTGCTTTTAGGACGCATATGGGTTTGCCCCAGGACTGTGCCTGGCCGATCTCAGCGTCCTGTGGCTAATTGCAAAGGTTAACATGAAGCCTCTCCAACCAAGTATTTTAAGTAATCACCTTCCTGGGGGACATTTGCAAATTAGCACTGACTCTTGCTGATTACTCCTCCTAAACTCTGTCTGATTAATAATTAATCAGCAAACCGCTTGTCCAGGGAAAGCTGATCAGTGCCAGGAAAGATCTTAAATCATGCAAGTCATTGGCCAGTCCTATAAACACAGAAACAGCCCAGTGGTGGCCAGGATTGGAGAGAACCGATGGCTGCATGAGGCATGGATGGTGTCTCGGTTGTCTGTTTTCTCTTTTTGTCTTTTCCACTTCCCCTTACCACCTTTTACCTGAGAAATCAGTTAGACTCCTAGAGAGAGAGAGAGACAGAGAGACAGAGAGACAGAGACAGAGAGAAAGAGACAGAGAGACACAGAGAGAGATAGAGAGAGATACACACACACACACACACAGAGAGAGAGAGAGAGAGAGAGAGAGAGAGAGAGAGAGAGAGAGAGAGAGGTATTAAATATTACTTTCTTTTTTATTCTTTCCACTCAAAAGATCTTTGGTCTGAGAGGCAGAGGTTAGAATTAGTGAGTTTGCTAAGCAAATGGCTGTCTGGCGCCTCGTGCCATCTTCTGTACCCCCATCAGTCTCAACTTTTCACTCGAGCCCTCAGACCAGCACACTTAGCTGGCAGTAAGAGGCTTAATGGGCACAGCTTGCTGCTACACCCCAGGCTTGGGGAGGAATCAATTTACCAACCACCTGTCCCACCAGGATTCCCTCGAGTGCCCTTTGCCTCCTGCCTCCAAACCCCAGGGTGACAGGAGAAAAGGCAATCAGAGAGGGGTGAGCACACTCCCATTGTCAGCCATGAACTTGATGACCACTGAGGGCCCCTTTTAAGTCTCACTCCTGTCTCAAAAGCCAAGCCTGTGTGGAGCTTCATCTTCTCCCGTTTCTTCCATGGGTCACTGAGAGGTGCCTGAGGTAAGATGCAGAGAAAGCAGAGAGGAGTGTCCATGTTGGTCTCTGGGCCAAAGAGAAGGGGCAGGAAGAGAGGCCAGACTGAATGAGTGGTGTGCAGCCCTGGGCCAGACTGAATGAGCACCCTGCAGCCATGACTGCCATGAGAAGCAGCATCAGTGGAAGAAGGTGACATCCCTCAGCAACTGTGTTGGAATGCCTTGGGGTGAGACTGTGGGTCTTGCTGAGCACTGCTGTGGAGGTCCCGGGCTGGATAAGCTTTGGGGAAAGACAAGATGAAGGACATCAAAGAGTATGAAGCAGGGGGTAATCCCTCTCAGGAACTCATTGTCTCCTGACTGTTAGGTGACAGACAGGGTACAGGGAGAAGAAGCAGAAAATACTGCAGCTTCCAGGGACCTCATACTTTCTTCCAAAGACCTCCCCTTGATTGTACTCCTGCTTTCTAAAATACCCCCTAGTATTGACTATACTCAAGATCCTCCCATTAATTTCCTGCTCAGAAAATTGGCTGCAAGGGTGTTTCAGAATGCAGATTGGTGTCCCAACCCCCACTTTCTGGCCCTAGCCTCCATGATCCTAAACTTTGCAGAATAGCACTTGGATATGGTAATTTTAAAATCATTATGTAAAAGTATGTGCCTGTGTGTGAGTGTGTGCATGCTAGTGCAGGTCATTGAATCCCTGGAGTTATGTAGGTGGTTGTGAGCTACCTAAAATAGGTGCTGGGAACTGAACTTGGATCCTCTGCAAGAGCTGATGCACACTCTTGACTGCTGAGGTACTTACCCAGCCCCAGTGTGCAGTATTTTTTAACACCCTCGTGGGAGTTCCTGCAAAACAATAAGGAAAATGGTGGTTTTAGCCATTGAGAACTAGTCAGTCTTCATATTAATGGATTCATTATTGACTTTCTCAGCATATGCTTGACATACATGTTTGACTGTGATTTATTCATGTGTTCAAGCCAGCACATCTATGACCTAAAATGATGGACTCTCCTCATGCATTTCATAAACAGATTTGCCTGCCAGTTTCATGCTGGTTTGGGGGATAAGTGGGTGAACAAGATGGTCTCAGTCCTTGAAGGGACTTCTGAAGTTGACTTCACCCCCCCCCTTGCCTGCTCTGTGTAGGTCTTAGAAAAACATGTCCTTCTTCCCGGGTCCTTGAGGTTGTAAGCTCCTCTGCTGTCACTTTGTCATTCATCCTCTTCCCAATACTAACTCTTTGAAGCAAAGACTTGGCCCGCCATCAGTGAGCCCTCAGAACTCAGTTTAAGTCCCCGTGCCAACAGGTGTAAACATAGGCAGGCATCCTGTGATCATAAGCATCTCCATGACCTCCTCGTAGGCTCTTTCTCCCACCACCCAATGGGAAAACGTGGCATTGGGCTCCTCGGGCCTAGTCTCAAAGCCCTTTGGCAATGGGAATGCCCTCAAGATAAATGAGCACTATATAAATGACCCTGTGATTAACCATAGCCTGCATACTGCTCATCAGTGGTCACTCATCCACTCATTCATTTATATAGTGGCTGCTTTCTGCCCTGACTCCCACCCAGCCATCTGGGAAACCAACTTTTATTCTCTTTCTTGTGTGTGTGTGTGTGTTTCCATATTCCTGTACTTTATCTGTATGTGTAACTTTCCTCTATTTGGGGAATTCTGCATGTGAGATCATCAGTATATATCCTTCTGTGACTGGCCAATGCCACAGGGAACAAGGGGCACAGTTAACTCTGTGAGATGGCAGGTAGACCAGTTGGCTCCACCCTAACAACCACATGCATAACACTGTACACACACACATATGCCTTAAAGCATCATCTTATATACCATAAATACACATAAAATTTATTTTTAAAGTTAAAACTGCAGACAAGTATCTATTGGTTGTCTCTGACTGAATCAGGGCTATTCTGTATATTGAATGCCACTCTTGTCTCATCCCAGCGAGATTTCACTGCCAATTCTGAGTTAGGCATTTGCATGGGCTCCTTGCAGATAAAGAAAACTAACCTGAGAGATTTAGCCTCCTTCTCACACACTCTCCTGAGTAACTGGGTTTCCTGGGTTTCCCGTTTGGCTTGTTGGGCAGATCCCACAGCAACTGGTCCAGGGTCCTCCTTCGCCCTCAGAGCATGTCCTGTGGTATAATCCCTCTGACCTCTTCCGTCCTCAGTTTACCTTAGCACACCTGCAGGAATTGAGATAAGAGTGACCAGATGTGAGATCCTGGAATAGGGGTCCATGTATATTACTCTCTAACCCCAAAGAATAACCTGTCTCTCTTCATCAAGGGGGAAGTCTGGAGTGTCAAAAAAATAAAGACAGCTGCTTAATGTCGCACAGCTGATAAGTGCCTAAGCTGGAAGGGAATCAAGCCCCCGTCTCTGGACTCTAAACCTGGATCTATAATTCTCATCCGTCTCCTCTCTTCCTCTGTCCTCAAATTCACTTTTCTCTCTTGACCCCAAGGAGTGCAGCCTGGAGGAGCATGGCCCTCCCGGTGGATTTCAGTACCAAGTGTGCTGCCAGCAATTCGTGTGTCCTCAGTGAGCTTGCCCTCTGGGGCCCTTGTGTAGCCTTACAAGAACTCATTTGGCACAGTGGGCCTTGGTTATGCCCAACTTTTCATCCTGTCTGTCCTTCCTTAGACCTTGCATAGCAATAGGACAGGGACTGGCCTCTTTTCCCTCACCCCCTCCTCCATCCCCTGCCTCCCAGCATGTGCTCCAGGTTCAAGGTGCTGCTAGTCTCAGCCTCTGCAGTTGCTGAGTCAGGGATGCAGCCTCTAGCTGGCGCAAGGCAGAGGCCACAGCACAGGGAAGTGATGTCCCTGCCATGCCGGGTGGCTCTAATATCACAGAGTCATTTGGTACAGTCCTAAAGGACTGCAGGAGAAAGTCAAGGCTGAAGATCCATGGCCGTGACTCTGGGTGAATCCCACTAGACTCTGAATACTTTTTACCCTCACTTCATAGGGCAGGTTGCAGATTGCAGGTCTTCCTCCCAGATGACTGGAATTTGAGGCTTAGTACCCCAAAATGTCTACGAGTTTGCAAACGGGCACAGCACCACAGACCCCTCTCCCAAGCAGGATCTTTGCCCACTAAGGTGATATTTCTTCTTCAGGATTGCGTGAGCAAGAAAGCAGGAGCCATGTTTGTGGAAGACCTACTGTGTGCCAGGCAACTGCCCTCCTTGTTTCCTTTGCATATTGAAGCAACTGTGTGGAGCAAATTCCTAGAGGTTACTCACTCAAGGTCATAGAGCCTCCCGAGTATGGCCCGAACCCTTCTTTGCCCCCAGTCTCTTTCTTTTTGCCCCCAGGATATAAGAGGTCTGTGGCTATTCAGAGAAGACATCTGTGGCCCCACACCCCCTGCCCCAGCCCCTTTGCCTCTGTGCTAGGTTGCCTTCTTGGGCTGTGGCTGATGGAAGCCCTGTAGCCAGCATGGGACAGCTGGGGACATCTGCTGCCAGTCTTCGTGCTCAGGAGAGCCCTGTCACTGTAGACAAATGGTCTGTGTCATTTAGCCACGCCGTTCTCATTGCTGGTCTGAGGCCTGAGTTGTCCAGATAACCCATTTCATTTCATGTCATCTTGGTGGTGCCACAAGGGTCCCCAGGCAGTGACAGCCCAGCCTTTGACCCAGCCAAGAAGAGTCGCAGACAGGCTTGCTTCCAGACTCCGACTTGCAGCCCAATCGACTCACAATTATTAGACTGTCAAGCTCTATCAAGTGACACTGTTCACAGGAGGGCAAGTGTCCCTAGGCCTCACTCTGAACAGAGATGACATCCCAGACACTGATGTGCCATCTACCCTCCCACCAGTGATTCCTGTGCAATTGCCAACTCTTTTTCCAACCCCTGCCCAACAGTGGGCTCCCTAGTTCCCCAAAGGAAACCCCCAGCCCTTCTGCTTGTAATTATCCACGCCCAGCTCCTTCCCCTGCTCCACCTCCCCCTGGTGCCTTATCGAATAATTACCTTCACAAGGAAGTAGACAAGTCTCTGGTGACTCCTGGCCTGGCTGGAAAAGATTCATTATTCTGTATCTGGAAATAACCAGCTCCGTCAGCAAGGGGGCTGAGATAACACCAGTGTAAAAACCTCTCCATTCAGGGGAATTAATTAGGAGTCCTTATTAAACATCCAATTAGGCAAAAGGGCATTTTTATCTGTGATAGTCAGCTGCTCTTATTTTTCTTAAGCTATAACTCCAAGTTTTTTGGTGTATCTTTTTTAAAGAAAAGCATGGCTTGTGTGTTTCTGCAGAGCGATTCACTCTTCCAATGTCAGCTATGTCTTCATCAGCATGTGAAAATAGATTTTTGCCATTCAATTTGCAATGCTTTGTCTCTTTGGAGTGTCATAATGATTCCACCATAGCCCTTCAGTGGGAGCTGTAGCCTGGATGGTAGATTTGGAGAGTGGGATGTTTGCTTAGAATAGCTGCAGGCCACCACTGTTTCTTAACATTTAGATTTCGTGAGCTGGCAGGAAATGATGTTGACTGTCTGTGCGACCCTGGACAAAGTGCTTCACCTCTCTAAGTCTACCAACCAGGGCCAGGATGAGGGTCAAGAATGAAAGGATGTGAGGTTGGGAGTGCTCAGAGAAGAGCACTTGCTGAGCAAACTTGAGGACCTGAACACAAATTCCCAGCACCCACCTTAAAGCCAGGGATGGCTGTGCACGCAAGTAACCCCAGTACTGGAAACAGAGGCTGAGACAGAAATATCCTAAGAACTCAGTGGTCAGCTAGGCTAGCCGAACCAGCAAGAGCTGCCTATCCAGGGAGACCTTGTCTCAGTGCAGTAAGATGAATGCTAGAGGAAGACTCCCAGCATCTTCCTCCCCATCCTCCACATGCGTGCATAGTCACAAGGACATGTGCACTCAAATGCATGCAACATACATCACACACACACACACACACACACACACACACACACACACACACACACAGAATGAATGCGTACACTGTAAGGAAGGAACTGTTGGATGGGAATATGGTTCTTTGGCAGAGCTCTTGTCCAGCAGGTGCAAGGTCTTAAATCCAATCCTCAGTCTAACATATGAAAATAAAAACTTGGCTTAGAGTCAAAGGCCCTTTATGGAGGCCACCTTATACCCACACTTGTAAGACATGTAACCTCGGAAGATCTGACTTCTAAATCTTGGTGTCCTCATTCCAAACTGGCAGGGATAGGTGGCATGGCATATGAAAGCAGCTTTTCCATGGAGTGCCTGTGTTTTCTATGGCTGTGGTAGAATACCATGACCAAGGTGACTTGTAGGAGACAGGGTTTATTTGGGCTTACAGTTCCAGTGGGTTAGAGTCCACCATCCTAGAGCAGAGACACGGTGGCAGGAACAGAAAGCTGGGGGCTTCCATGAAGCCATATTCCCACCAAACAGCTGTTTTCTTACATCTCGATCTTCAAACATGAAGTATGAGTGAGGAGAGTCTTTGAACTCTCAAAGCTGGCCTCCAGCAGCAAACCTCCTCACACAAGGCCATCTTCTTAAGCTTCCCCAAACAGAGCCCCCAGCTGGGGACCAAGTATTCAAATGCCAGAGACTAGGGGACACATCTCATTCATGAAGTATGTGTTTGTTGAGTTTGAATCAGTTTGTCGCCTTCAAATAAGTTCACGCGAGTTGCCTGGCAAGAGCACTTCCTGCTCCCCAATCAAAAAAGAATTGGCTCGTACCGGGTGGCATCTGGGTGACTGGAGGCTGGAACCCCTGCTCAATGTTGTTCAGCTGTGTCCTTTCAAAGGAAGTGAACTATAAGATAGGAAAGGAGTGAACTCTTGACCTTAGCCCATGAGCCTCCAGTCCAAGGTTCTTCCGGCCATGGACATGGGACACACACATCCACCTGTAGGTATCACTAAGGAGACCAGCCACAGATCTCGAGAAATAACAGAGGCTGTGGCTTCCAGAAAGTTCTGTTGAAAGGATATTGTTCCACATTCCACAGATAAGGAAAAGGAGTCCCCTAATTACTCAGCAGAGTCAAAGAGGTGTCTGAGCCCTCTAAGTTAGCTCCTCTACCATAGGACACCTTCCCCCACACTCTGTCCCTAAACCAGCATTTACCAGACTTAGCACAACAGGGTCAAGGCAGGTGCTCCTATTCAACAAGATGTGTGCTGGTGTGAAGCCTGCTTCATGCCATGCCTCTTTCCCATCTGCATGTCTCTGCTGCCTGCTGCTTATGCCTCAGTTTACCACACAGAAGAGCCACCTTTGTGCCTGGTTCCTTCTCTCAGTAGTGTTGTGGCCTCTGTGTGCTCTTTCACAGGCCCTGTGCCCTCTGCCGTCTGCTCCTGCCCTCTGCCCTCTGCCCTCTGCCCTCCGCCCTCCGCCCTCCGCCCTCTGCCCTCTGCTCCTGCCCCTCCTCTACTGCCTCTCTCTTCGTTCTTCTGCCACCTCTTCACTCTCCTTTTCCTTCCAGCTCTCTCATTCTCTTGCTGTCCCCCCACGGCAGCCACACCAGTCTCATAGCTGCTTCTTACAGAACACATGCACACTCTCCCCACCCCAGGGCCTTTGCAGTTACTGTTTCCTCCATCTAGAACATTCTTGTCCTCCATTTCCATAGGACTCAGCCGCTGGCAGCTTGCAGCTGCCACCTCTAAGCTCACATTTCCCAGCAGTGCCTTCTAGGAACACCTAAAGATGACAAGTGCCATTCCCAGAGTGTCTATGAGTGTTCTCAGCTGACTCCATACCCCAAAGGGTGCCTGGCCACAGAAGCTCTGTCACTTGAGAACTGTCACTCATTCTCCAGTTGGGGGAATTGGCGAACAAGGATTGACTGTGGTGGGAGGATCGTATAAGAACTGTGAACGCAACAGACTCACTTTAAAGCAGACTCTGATATGGGTGCAGGACTCAGCCCTGCACCATAGAGACCTACTGTCCTGCTGCAAGTACAGGCTTCTGGCAGTGAAGGTAGCTGGGTTGTAAACCGAGAGCAAGCTCCTCTTTGCCTCCCTCTCCCCACCCCCTCACCCCCTGCCAATTCCCCCATCAAATAATTCCTGATAATGAAGTTAGGATGAGTCATTGGTTTTCTGATGAGCATGAATTCATCATCAAAATCTACATATTTCAATCCCCTGATATGTGCTCAGATTCCTAACCTGATTAATATGTAAAGTGCTTCATCCTAGG